CAGAATAAAAGTCAGAGACACAGAGTATCCTCTAGCAATTACTGAGTGCTAATTTTCTATTCCATGCCCTGTAAGAGCTTTACATTTGTAGCAGATGCTGTAGACGTGCCCTTCACATCCCCTCTGATCCCAGCTGTGGAGGAGAGTTTCAGGCAAGCCCATGCTAACAGCACCCGTCTCAAATGCACGCCGTGCCTCTTGTCACCATCTGTTTCAGAGCCTTCTCGGGAGCATAAGTGCAGCCCAGAATTGCAGGGGGTTGGTGCTCCTGGGGGCAAACCTTAACTAATGGAATAAGGGAGCCCACCTCACATTCCTTGGGAAAATTGGACACTTCTCTGGAGGACCTGGTAGAATCCAGTCCCTCTTGCCCACAGCAGTGACGCGGGTGCCACACCCCTGCCTCACTCTCCCTACATCTTCCCTTCTGCTTCTTAGGATCACCTTCCAAATAAGCTACCTGCATCCAAGCTCTTGACTGATGCTCTGCTTTTGGAGAAGCCAAGCTAAGACAAGGTATTAGTCTGTTTCCTTTGCTTATAGCAAAATACCTGGAACTGGGTGATTATAATTTATTACTTACACTTTCTGAGTCTGGGAAGTCCAAAAAGTACATCTGGTGATGGTAACAGGGATCTCACAGTGCAAGATGGTGGAAGCAGAGAGCAGAGAGAGACCAACCTCCTCGTTCACTCTCCTTTACAGCCCTCAGAACCACACCCCTGATCACCATTATTAATCCATTCACTACTATGTGGTCCTACAATCTAATCACCTCTTCAAGGCCCCACCTTTCCATTACCATAACAGGATTTCCCACCCTCCTAACAGTCACAGTAGGAACCAAGTTTTTAATACATAAAACTTGGGGGACACAATTCAAGTTTCAGTGAGTTTAGGGGGGACATAATTCAATCCACTACAGACAATATTAATGAGGTACCGTGTGCCTGACACATATTAAGTTTCTTGAAAGGTGGCTTTCATGATAAAGTCATGCATTTCCTCATATAGTCCTCACAACAACTCAGTGAGATGGGCAGTAGGGTAGTAGTATGATCCCATTTTATAGACGAAAACATTGAGGCACAGAGAGGTTAGGGTACTTGCCCAAAGTCTTACAGCTGGTTAGTGTTGGAACAGGCATTCAAACCCACTGCTTGTTGACTCCAGGGAACCCATCATTCTTGTAGGCACTACCCTGCATTGTCTTTCCACAAAGCAATTACAAATTGAGCTAAACGGTGGGTGGTTACAGATCTCCCAGGGCTAAGGACAATAGCCCATGCCCTCACGGTTCAACCTTCACCTTGCACCTTAGAGGGCTCAGATGTGTGCATCTCTGGTCCAGAGATGCTGGGAGAGGGCAGTGCAGTGTCACCTCACTATAAAGGTGCCACTTGGCTTTCTGTTGTTCAGAGAACAAGCTACAGGGCCCCTTCCATGTAGAAAAGGCAGCGTTTTATAATGTTACAGTTAACATAATGTTAATAACATATATAATAATATAGTATACTGCAAAAGTGACCATGTGAGCTTGGAGGTCAGGCTGCCTGAGTTCCTAACCTGGAGCCCAAAAATGACCCCATTCTTTCTCCCCATCTGCATCCCAGCCCTTGGAATGTGACCCTGCTGCTCGTTCCATCAAGAGATTGAGTCTATTTCCTCCCACCTTGAGTCTGGGCTGACTTGTGGCTTGCTTTGGCCAATACAATGCAATGAAGAGAAGAGAGTGGTGCGCATGCTATGAGCCCTGCATGCTTCCACTCTTCCCTAGCCTGCTGGAACCATGTGGCTCAGCTGCCGCCATGGCGCCAGCCAACAGCCAGCCAACCTCCAGAGGCACAGCCACTTTGCTGACCAGGAGATGCATGAGTCAGCCCAGTCAAGACCAGATGAACCACCCAGCTGAGCTTGGCCCAAGTTGCTCTATTTAATGGGTCACCCAGAAGATTGTAAGCTAAGTAAGTGGCAGAGTTTCAAGCTGCTAAGTGTTGAGGCAGTTTGTTTAGCAAAGGCTACCTGATGAACTTTTAGGCAAGTGATTGAACCTCTCTGTGCCCCCGTTTCCTCACCTATCAGATAGAGATGGTAACAGTACCTCCAGGGTGGTTGGGAAGAGTGAATGAGAAGATGTTTGTAAAGCATTTGAACAGGTCCTTGCAAATGGAAAGCTCTCCTTAAACATTAGCTATTATCTCCCTTTCAGCAAAGGACAGGCAGAGGCAGGAAATAAGTGTTTGATAAATGAATGAATGCACAGATAGGTGGACGGACAAAAGAACAAGTGTACAGAGCAGCACATGGGGAGCAGGGGCATTGCCCACTCTCCTGATGGGATAGAAACTGCTCCTGGAGGTCCTTCCTTGCCCTCCTTTCAACCCACCTCCTGACTTACCTTGCATGAGGTCGCACTGGGATCATGGTCTTCAGGCTGGGATCATACCTCTCTGCAAAGGATCTCCGCCGGCCTCGCCGGTCCAGGTCTGAGATAAGGTAGGGGCCTTCACCCACCATCCTGATGATTGTCTGGAGCCCTGGGCTCTTGGCCTAGGGACACTTTCACTCTACAGCAGAGAGATGGGGAAGGTTCACTGAAAGATGAGGACATTGGAAATGGGATCAGGCAGCCCCTACTCCACTCCCCACTTCCCTTGCTTTGACTCCTAAGAATTGCTTTCACCAATTAGCCTTTTGCATTTATGGGGGAATGTGGCCAGGAGCCCCACTATATCCTTCAACTCCACTCTGAGGCTTCCTTATTAGTAAGAACATTTGGTTCCTCTTCTTTTCCCATGTTGGGTTGGCTGGGAGCAGAAGAGCCTATTGTGGGTTTTCTGTTGGGAGCCAGGCAAGGCTAAGTCCCAGCCCAGCCAAAGAGACCCCCAAAATAGGTTTGATTTCTTTGTGTGACCCAGCATGAAGTTTGTCACACCTACACCCCTTCTTCTTCCAGGTTCCCTCAGATTCCAGAAGCTTGTGCACCCACATCCCATCCACCCCTATAGCCAGACAACTTCAACAAAGACACTCCTCAAGACCAGCCTCATCTGGACAGGTCCACATTCCCCACACTTCTGCCACATCTGCCCCACTGAAAACCAACAACCCAGGAGGTGGAAAGGACCCTTTTTGGCATGTCTGTCCAGTTCCCAAACCAATAACCTCATCTTCCAACCACATAAACCCAATTCATAGAGAATAAGATCTAAAGGTGTTCCTAGCCCTAGTTCTGGTCCTTTTGTGAGGCTTAGCTCTATTCTTGTCCTAAGGTT